TGTGTGGTTAGACCTTGCACTAAATACATTAAAAAATAAAAAAATTGCTTTGATGCAATATAATTTTATTTTCACTCAGCTAGGTGCACTTTATTTTCTTTATCTTTACTTAGCTAAATGGAGTTTGCTCATTGAACGACTGAGCAAAGTATGTGATAAAATCCACCCAAAGGCTTCAAGACAATAAAAAGAAAGAAAAATTATTTGGTCAGGAGATTGACTTTGATGTTAAGAGTTTTGCTTAACCTGTTTTTCCTGGAAGCAGAGGGATACCATATTAATTATTAACATTGTATAGTTCTACAATATTTTGCCTTGGTATAGTAAATATTTAAGTATTGATTGAGTTTGTAAAATGGTATTTACCACAAGTACTAAAACCTAGCTGCCTCTTGAAAATTGCACTAAGAGAAGGCATGAACAAAATGTGATCATACATAAAATATTATCATTATTTTAGTCTTGCCAATAAATACAGTAGCTTTAGACAGTTCATAACCTCATTTTATTAGTGTGTCCATGTTGGCATCCTGAATCTGTTAGAAATGCCTTTCCAGGTTTACACCTCGTCAGAGAGGTGGATGATCTTTGTTTTTCTGTGCCTTTGGTGACTCTGAAAGTTAACAGTTTCCGCTAACAAAGCATTTTGTGGTTTTTAAATTTTTTTTTGTTATGGAGAGTCGAACTCAGGACCTTGCACTTGCCAAGGAGGTGCTTGTGTCACTGAGCTCCATCACTGGACCTCTATTTTTTAAATTATAAAATACATCCAACTAGGGGCTGGGGAGACAGCTCAGTAGCTTAAGTGCCTGCCTGACAAGTTTAAGGTCCTGAGTTCAATCCCCAGTACGAAAAACAACAACAAAAAGTCCAATTAGCAGTTCTGTTCCTAGCTATCAATTCAAGAGAACTGAAGACGTGTCTTCACAAACACTATGTATAAAAATATTCGTAGGAGTATCATTCGTAATAGCCGAAAAATAGAAGCAAATCCAATACCTGTCAATGAGTCGTAGAGAAACTGATAAATAGAATGTGATATTATCCATACAATGAATTTTTTTTTTGGTGGAACCAGGGATTGAACTCAGGCCCTTGCGCTTGCCAGGGAAGCGCTTATTCCACTGAGCCATTTCTCCGGCCCCCACAATGAATTGTTATTTGGCCAT